TGAAATAGATTATCAAAAAACATTTTATTGTTAAAAGATATGTTTGTATGCATACGGTAGTTGCCACATAATTAGGGATACTATTTCTTTATAAGTTTTGACCATTTATTTTTTACTTTATTTGTTTTTAACTTTTTTTACAAAGATATATTTTATACCAAAACGAAAACCCTGCAACTCAAAGTTTCATTAAAAATCGCAAAATTTCCAAAAATGATAATCAAAATATATAACTTTTAAATCACGTTCTCTAGAAACAAATTCGGGTATGCAGATTTACAGCGCATTCAACGTCAGCATAATATTGTGCAAGTTTTAAGCGGCTAAAACCTTGCGTTGTTTTTTGATAATTTTTTACAAAGTGTGTTAGAAATGTTTTTATATAGGTGCATAAATACAAATAACTAAAAAAAAAAATAAATAAATAGACAGAACGTAATTACCTCGTAGGATTGTGTCAACCAGTATGAGTTTGTTCAGTGGTTTTCTCTCCCATCTTCCGTCCCAGTTGAATTGCAGCAATGTTTCGTCCGTAAATAAATGTTTAATGACGCTGCCTACGTCCTCAGACACACCTTTTAGTTTTATAATATATGTGGCCTTTTGAAAATATATGTACAGCAATTAGAATGTAAAATAAGCATTCCATCATATAATTCTTTACCATGGCTTGTGCATACTCTGGATCTCGTAACTTGGTTTCCATTAAATCCACAGCGCAATCGGACTGCAGTGGCAGAGAACTGGCGATGTCATCTAAATTTTTGTCAGAAATTATTCATTTTAAATGAAATATTTTATAAAACTTATGTTTATTTTTCCACAGCACTTTAAGTTTTGAGCATCTTTTCGTTTTGCGTCTTTCTTTTTTCTGTTGATGTGCGCATTTGAACTTCTTCAGTACCAAGTACTTTATAATACGGTTTTATTTATTACGTTTATATATAAAAAGAATATCATACCACAATGAAAACTTTTATTTTTACTTACTTTTGCTATGAGCGGGGTCGAATAATGATAAAATTAAAATTAAACTAATTAAGTTCAAAATTATATCCAAGTACTTCAGTACTCGACATTATTTGGCAGGTACAACTACTTTTTCTGAGCACAAAATGCAGCCCTAGTGAATCTTGTGGTTACTATGGCAACCAACTACCGTTACTTCTATCAGCATTGACACTCACTTGATCGATCACATGACAGTCATTCCCTACAGAGCCAAACTGGCATATAAGATTTTGTATATGTGTTAGTTTTCGTTGTGAATGTGTTGGAGTTTCTATCAATCGCGTCTTGTAGAGATATGTGTATGTATACGCGGAGATGTAAATAAAGCAAAACAGACGAAAATTTGACACAAGCGTGCTCATAAGAAGAAGCATACCCTACAAGAATTGTGTGATGGAAACTAACACATTCTCATTTACCTTACTAACACGTTTACAAATTTTGCGTTGGTTAAAAAGAAACAACTAAATAATGCCATAAGTCGGAGGAAGACGGAACACAAATGTTTACATCAGATTTTTCACACTGCCCTTTAGAATTTGATAGAAACTTGTAGGTAGCCTGTGACAGAAATCTCTATCGTTCTTGCCACTCAAATGATTTGTCAAATGATAGTCACTGTTCTTGCAGGGTAGCTTCTATCGCTATCACCTGTAATTGATGCGCCTTGAAAAACGCGGTAAAAATTAGCACAACGGAGTTCTGGTTGAACGATTCGTCAGACGATGAAAGCTTAGTAAACTGGCCAGGAGCAGAAAACGTTTGAGATAGTTTAAGTGTAGCCTTTCGAATATATTTTGACATACAATATATTTAAGAAATTTTGTGATCCAAATCTATTTAAAATATATTAAAACTATAAACAGCTCTATGATTTTGTTCTCAGATATCGTGCCAACTGTGTATTGAGATTTTCTTTCATAAGTAGAACCAGCCTTCCGAGCTTGTGTTTAGTATTAGGTGCGTTCGTTTAAAATCTCCAGCAGAAACCAACCAACTGCCAAATTCCGGCGAAATGTCATCTGTTCTCTCACAAGAGAGAAATATCCAAAATAGTACGCGAACAGAAAATTTGCAGAAACTTGCAAGTTAGACGAACAGCTGATATAATTTTTGTTTACATACAAAAGTGTAAAATTTAAAACGTACGAAAAGTCGTCGCAAAGTGTTATACTGACACAGTTTATTGATTAAACAAATAACTACTTATTTCTTACAAGTTTAATTAGTCGCATTTTGTAATTTTTATCTTCCAAACCATCAAATTCAATTTTGTGATTTGCGTAAATGCCAACCAGCTGTTTTTGATCAGCTGTTTCCCTGTTGGCAAATTGCTGTTGGCAAAAATTTTTCCAACAGAAACTAACAGCTTCCCCTCAAAATGAAATGTCACTTTGCTCTCTCAATTTCCCCTACTTTGCAAGTTTTTTGCGTACGCGAACGCAAAAACCTGTAAGTTTTGGTTAAACTTGAACAATTAACAGCTACGCGAACGAACCTATTCACGACGTTAGAACTGCATAATATTAACAAAAATTGTTTAAAATTAAACTAGCCGCTAAAAAGTAGGAAAACAAATGCAAAATCATACATTTTTAACAATTTTATAACTCGACACTTGCCCGTTCTGTTAAACCATGTTCTGACCGACAACGAAAACACTTTGAAAACGTGTTTTGGGATTGTGGGCTGAAGGCTGTTCACACCGGCTGTTAGCAAGAACGATAGAATACAAGATTGCGCCGATCAGAGAGGATTTTTGAGAATAACTTTTGTGTGACGTCACACTGGTGCAATTGCGAGAGAGAAATGCCAAAACATGAGCAAGAATGGAAGAAGAAGAAAAAATGTTGCAAGGAAAACGTAAACAAGTTGCACACGTGTGACGTCATGCAAACAACTATTCTGTCAAATTCGTTAAGAGAGGAATAGCGGTCCGAGATCGGCGCAACCTTTGTATTCTCTCAATCGTGGGCTGTTAGTGTTTTCGTTGACATTTCTTACATCCTCTGATTACAGTTTTGCTACACAAAAACAAAACTAAAATGCTTTTCCCTCATTTTCTTTTCATTAGCAACCTCTTACTTTCATTCTTATTTTACTTTTGCCAGCCAATTAACTATAAATCCGAAATGGCGTATTAAAGATGATAAAATATGACTTCCACTTCGATAAATAATCGAAAAAAACTAGTGAAGACACCGATTAGAATGAGTGGAACGTGAGTTTTCAAGTAGTTTGCAGCGAAAACTGGTTTTCGTTTGACAGATTTTACATGGACGAAAACACAAGTTTTAAGTCGAAAACCAGTTTTAGCAACGAAATCATGTTTTCGATGTCGGTCACAACTGTGGTATTAGGAAGCATCTGCCTAAACACATATTTTACGATGTCCAACAATCACTACATCCCGGCAAGCCATCTTGAACTCTGTCGACCCCATCGAGTTGCTTAAAAATCCAACCCAGAGAAATGTACAACTAATATATAGTTTTCTCAAAGAGGTAGACCTGCTCAGACGAATATAACCCATAAGGCTGGTTACTCTAACTCAACTTAACTTAGTTTAGCCATTTTTTGGACTTAAGTCAAAAGTTAGCCTACTTTTTACACAGCTTATTCTTGACTAAGTTTAAAAAATTGGCCAAACTAAGTTAAGTTGAGTTGGAGAAACCAGCCCATAATATTGTAAAACAATATGCAAAGATACATATATTTTCATTCGAATAAGATGCAAAGGACAGCTGAGGGCCTTCGTTGCCATTGCTGTGAATCGTAATGTATTTATTATTTGTTTCTAGCAGTTTCCATTAGAAAAATTTAGTACTTTGATTAGAAATATACAATAATACTTAGCAAATCGCATCGATTTAAAATCGTACGATTGGCAGAACATCCCGGTAACCAATTTATCAATTTCTACCAAACTTGATGCACTTAATAATCTTTGTACGAAAAAGCGATTCGTTGAAAATTATTTAAATCGGACTGAAACTATAATGGTAATTTTCGGATATACGAAAACTCCGATATTTCAATAACTGAGG